CCCTACAGGTCACCCCTGCAGCTTGCCAGAGTCTGGAGCAATGCCTTCTCAAGCCAGGGAGTCATTACCCAACATATGAGGGATGGCACTAACAATTCACCACAGGTGTAAATTGCAAAAATCACACACTCCCAAATTCTCTATGGCAGTAGTCTTCAATCCTCTTACTTTGTCATTACTGTATTTATCCGAACTTTCATCTCAGATGAACATTAATCCAGACCCAGGATATAAAGCAGATGAGAACTGAGCCATTTAAGATGGGGCTGAGCATGAGGGGCCAGCGCCCCATCCATTTCTTTACCCCGGTGAACCCCGAGGCTCAACAAAGGCTGATGTGGAAGGTTTGCAAACACAGTACGCATTCTTTAATTCTAGTCCTTCTTGATTCAGAATCTGTGTCCATTGGAGCTGACTGGGTTAGACAAAGCAAACTTTCACTTCACAGTTGGTTCCAAATCAGAGCACAGAAATAAACAAAAGCACAGGTGTCAAACATTGCTTTTGACACACTATGTACAAATAATTTTTTAAAACTCTAACCATTGTAGTAAGTTCCGTGACAGTGTCTTCCAGGCCACTGGTTCCAAACTCCAGTGTGTATCAGAGTCACCCGCAGGGCTTGTCAAACCAGAGGTGTCTGGGCCCTACCCTCCAGTCCCAACAGTCTCTGGTTCAGTAGTTCTGGGGCAGGGCCTGAGAATCTGCATTTCTAATAAGTTCCCAGGTGATGCTGATAAACTGGGGGCCACACTTTGGGAACCACTGTCAACCTCCTTTGATTTACTGTATGATCTACACCCAGAACCTTTAAAAACAAAACAACAACAAAAGTCTGTTTCATCCCATTCTGAACTTCTGGCTTTTTACTGAATTAAACTGTTCTTTCTTGTGAGTGGTGGGGCACCTGAAACCCTGAAACATCTCCCCAAGTCAGGTTCAGGAAGGAGTGGGTCGCATCTATGGAGATGAAGGGAATGAGCGGGTGGGGCAAGGGAGGGGAGAGACCCGCACCACTTCGAAAGCATCTGCCTGGACGCTGAAGTTTGGGTTGTTCTGGTAGCTCTGGATCACACAGGACTTGACTCCGTGTCCCCCACACTCGATGAGGACCTGGGGACGATCCACCGAGAGGAGCTGCACCTTCTTCATTTCTCGGACTCCCCAGAAGAGAACCTGAAGAGAGGATGGCAGGGCTGTCACACAAAGGCCCAGGGAGGAGCCAGCAGGTGTGGCTCAGGTGTGGGAAAGTCAGCCGCGCCAGCCTGAGAACCACAGGATGTTCTTCCAGGAAAGGATGGGGCAGCTCCCTGTGGCTCCGTCCGATCAGCTACGTCTCCTTCCCACCCCTCAAGTCCCCTGACACAGTGCAGGCATGATTGCAATGCACCAGTGCCCTTTAGTCCCAAAGAACAACCCAGTCCTTCCAGGCCCCATACCTCCACTTGGTATTTACTCAGCACTGGCCGGATGCTGGCAGGAACAGGGTAGATCTGGGTGACATCGGGTGGGTCGAGGGGAGGGAGGCCTTGCAGCCCAGACGCAGGGACCTACCACACAGATCAAGCGCTGGTTACATGTTGGGAGAGGTAAGGAAAATGAACGCCACCACACAATGACCTCATTGGAAAGACCGTCACTGTTTTATAACCAAAGGAATGTTTCCAGCTTAAAATGTAAATCAAGAGGATGCATTTTGTCACAGTGAATAATCTCTTAATTTACAAATGCATTCGTTCACAAGGGTAATCAACATTTAGTGAGCATTCACAACGTGTCACAAATTAATAGTTTCCTAAGCTTTCAGCGGAGACAGATCCTCATAACCTCATTGTATTTCATTCTTTTCATTTTTTCTTGAAAATTAATTACATAAACACTTATCTAAAGTTTAAAAAGAGCAATAAATTAATTTAAAGACTTCATATTAAAATTTTGGAAAAGCAAGTTTTCAATTCATAATATTTTCTAATATCCTTCATACTTATTCTTTACCCTGTGGGTAATTTAGAAGCAGTCTCCTTAATTTCTGAATCTGTAGAAGTGTTGCGTGATTTACAGAGTGGTCAGAAAAATATACTCTGTAGGATTTGAAACCTCTGAAGCGTTTCAAATGTTATCTGGCATTATTGGAAGCAAAAAATTCTAGTAACACCTTTGCAGATGATTTATTCATTAAAGAATATAAGCAGTAAATATATAGGAATAAACATTTAAAAAATATCTCTGGTATCTAAATGTTTGCAGATATTATAGAAATAGGAAATAAGTAAGCCTATAGACATTAAATAATAACTAAAAAATTATGAGTGGTAAAGTAATGGTTGAATGTTTTGAGTATGTAGGATAAATTCAAGTATTTTACAAATGGCTGAAATCTAATTTTTTTCTGTCATTAAAGTATATATATTCAGTCAAAAAAAAAAATGACAGGGGAATTACAGCCGTAGAATAGAGAAGGGGCTCTGATCAGATTCCAAATCTCTGAGACTTAACTATCCTCCCACTGTGCACTACAAGAGATTGATTTAATCACATAGAGACTAGTCATAATCAGTAAAACAGAAAAAGAAGTCTTTTGAAGGCAGACCTCCAGGAAAAGGTGTTATTTCCTGTGCATTTGGAGTTAACAAAACCGCAAGAGGACAATTGCTATGCTTTATTGAAATCTCACACAAAGGACTTAGAAAGTCTCCTAAGGAAAGGGCCTTTCTCATTTGTGGGCCACCCCACATTACCTTCAAGACCTGGCTCAACACGTACATCTTTCAAGAAGCCACCCCTTATTTGGTCCCGGCCACTGTGGCCATTCTCCTAATCTTCAGTCCTTGGAACACACTGTGTCCTCTCTGGAGACTTAGTGCAGAAACTAGTGGACTGAGCCCAGAAACCAGGCTCTGCTGTGTGACCCTGCATGAGTCCCTTTCCCTCTCTGGACCTCAGATATTGGGCCAGCTGACCCTTCAAGTCCCTCAGGAGCCAGATGTTCTATTAAACATTGCTTTGGAGCAGGAGGTTTTCCTCGCTGGGGGAGTTTGCCTGACTTGGCCAAGAGGAAGCCTTTGTTTACTTCATTATTCTCAGACTCTCAGGTAATGCTCCAAAACCAGTGAGTTCTTGATAAATGTTTATTGGCTGATACACATTAGCTCTGTATGCTCGAAAAAGCCTATTTGCCCATCAAAACCTGTAAAGCACAAACATCACCATTTCTTTTTCACAGACATATTCTAGCTGGCATCGGCAGATGTGGTTCAGTTAATTATAAGAAAGCCCAGAAAAAGAAGACAGCAGTCACTGCGAATGCCAAGTAGGCTCAAGATAATGAAGCTGCAGAAGGAACCAAACCAGATCAAGGAGCTGGGAAAAGGTGAGGTGAACACTGCCTGGCGGCGAGGAGGTGAGCGATCCAGGCTGCAAAACATCACCTCCCTGAGAAAGCTAATTGCTCCTGTGGCTCCAAACGTAAAGCCACAAAAACAGCTGTGATGGTGGCACAGGATGGGATGGTGCCTCTGGATGTGTTTTTTTTTTTTTTTTTGTGGTACGCGGGCCTCTCACTGTTGTGGCCTCTCCCGTTGCGGAGCACAGGCTCCAGACGCGCAGGCTCAGCGGCCATGGCTCACGGGCCCAGCCGCCCCGCGGCATGTGGGATCTTCCCAGACCGGGGCATGACCCCGTGTCCCCTGCATCGGCAGGCGGACTCTCAACCGCTGCGCCACCAGGAAAGCCCTGGATGTGTGTTTAAAAGTACCATACGTGGGCTTCCCTGGTGGTGCAGTGGTTGAGAGTCTGCCTGCCGATGCAGGGGACACGGGGTCATGCCCCGGTCTGGGAAGATCCCACATGCCGCGGGGCGGCTGGGCCCGTGAGCCATGGCCGCTGAACCTGCGCGTCCGGAGCCTGTGCTTCGCAACGGGAGAGGCCACAAGAGTGAGAGGCCAGTGTACCGCAAAAAAAAAAAAAGTACCATACGTTTTCCTCGTCTTGGGGCCTCTGCCTTCAAAAAATTTACAGATTAAGGGAGACCAGCTATAAACAATTGCCTTTATCAAAGCCTAGATTTGGGACTTCCCTGGTGGTCCAGTGGCAAAGAATCCGCCTTACAATGCAGGGGACGTTGGTTTGATCCCTGGTCAGGGAAGAAAGATCCCACATGCCGCGGGGCAACTAAGCCTGCACGCCACAACTACTGAGCTCGTGCACCTCAACTAGAGAAGCGAAACCCACACACCACAACTAGAGAGAAGCCCAGGCACTGCAACGAAGATCCTGCATGCTGCAACTAAGACCCAATGCAGCCAAAAATAAAAATAAATAAATAAATAAATCCTTTTAAAAAGCCTGGATTAAATAGAAAAAGAGGCAAAGTGACGTAGGATGGAAGAGGAGAAAACATTTGACTGAGGTGGGGGAGGGGAAGATGCCTGGAGGAGGCAACTCTTGTCCTGAACTGTGAGGATGATCAGTTTCCTAAATAGGTAAATAGAGTGCAGGGGGTGGAGTCGGCAGAGCAGGGAGATATTTTGAAATAGGGTGACAGCATGGCCAAAAGCAGAGGAGCACATCTGTGCGGTGAGGTCTGAGAATTCAGAATAGTCTGCTATAAAGAGGCCACAGTATGTGCAGAGTAATTGTGCTGAAATGTGAGCCTGAAAAGGCAGTTTGAAGACAAATTAATTTGGGGAGAGCTTAAATGCTAAGCTATGGAAATCTGATATTCTCCTATGGGCTAGATTTTCTTTTCATGAAATATTAAGAGTTACCATGCAAAAAAGAGAATATTTGTACTCACAAACATTTGGGAAATGCTAAATTTCAAAAAAGAAAGAAATTTCAGAAGTTTCTTTATAGCTGACTTCTCAGAGTTTTTACTATGGTAACAGGCATTTCAAAGTCCCAAGAGGGACATAATATGAAGAATTTCCAAACTTTGGTTTTTTTGTGTTTTTTTTTTGCGGTACGTGGGCCTCTCACGGTTGTGGCCTCTCCCGCTGCAGAGCACAGGCTCCGGACGCACAGGCTCAGCGGTCATGGCTCACGGGCCCAGCCGCTCCACGGCATGTGGGATCCTCCCGGACCAGGGCACGACCCCGTGTCCCCTGCATCGGCAGGTGGACTCTCAACCACTGCGCCACCAGGGAAGCCCCCAAACTTTGTTTTTACTGTATTTAGAGGGACTCATGTTCCAAAGATACAGATTTTGGGAAATGCTCCTGGAGATAAGAAACAGACAGCCACTGATGATGTCTAAAGAGGAGAGTGGTATTATGGTGGACTTGTGTTCTGGAAGGAATGCAGAGGATGAAGCAAACAAGGAAGAGGAGGCAGCTAGGAGACCAGGAAAGAGGCCAGTGGGACAATCCTGATGAGAACGAGGGTCTACGGGAACAAGCGACAGTCACCGGGCTGGAACGATTGGCTTGCTCATGGATACAAACCCAGAGTGAAGAATTACAGCTGAGTGTGAATTCTCAAGGCAGAGAGTCTAGGAGAACAGAGGGACAGTGGGCCAGGACTGGGAAAACAGGGTCAGCTAGCTGGGTAGAGGAGGAAAATGGAGGTAAGGAATTCAGTCTGGGGCACTGAAGAACCCTGGTACTACACCCTTCTTCTGAGACAGGGAAGCCTTTCAGTAATGGAGACAGACGGGCTGAAGGTAAACCACCCACAGGCGGAAACTGAGAGCCGCTGATGACAAATGAAGGCGTTTTCCAGCTCCTGCCTTCCCGGAGTGTAGGAGATCCACATGCTGAGAAAGTGGCGTTGATGATCAAATTAATTTTTGCACACGTAATCAACTGAGAGGAAGTCCTAATGAAACCCTAATGAATTGTGTCTCTTAGGTTGCTTGCCTCTGACACCCCACTGTCAGGAAGCAGCCGTATCTCGAACCAGTCTGCCCAGCTCATTGTGGAGGGAGGGCGGGAGAATCAGAGGTGGGGACTGGGAGAAAGCCAGGACCTCAGAGGGCCTGTTGGGATCAGCTGGTCCAGCCCCTCATTGATGGATCAGGGGACTCCCTTCAGGAAGCTTCATGCAATGAAAAGAGCAGTTGACTGAATCCCATCCAGTTAACCCGGAGCCTCAGCTTTCTGACGTGTAAAATGAAAGCATTGTACTCAAGCTGGTTTTCCCAAATCAGTCATTCTTCGACCACTTCTACCACCTGTGTTATTATCTAGTAAACATTTTCATTAGCTGTAATTTCATTTTTAGAAAGGAAACTTCAAGTTGCTAAGTAAAACAGGTACCACTGGCCATCAATGGAAAGTAACTTTAAAAAGAAAACCAACGAAAACAAAATAATGTTATTGGAATATGTCACGTGTAGCATTTCTTAAAATTTCTTTTCACTAAGTTTGGAGGGGCCAGCGTTCCAAGAAGCAGACTTTGAGAAATGTTCTTGTAGATAACACTGATGTTACTTTAGAGGCATTGAAGCTGCAGCCTATGCTTTCTGAAAAAGAAAGGCTGCAGGTTAAGCAACGTGTTATACACAGATGGGCGTGAAACTTTCTTCTAAAATTACTTAGAAGGATCCAAAAAGGCAAAATTCCATTTACAACAATATGGATGGGCCTTGAGGGCATTACACTAAGTGAGATAAGTCAAAGAGAAAGACAATACTGTATGATCTCAGTTATATATGGAATCTAGAAATAGAAAACAAACAGAAACAGAGAGTAGATTGGTGGCTGCCAGGGGTAGGGAGGTGGGGAAAGTGGGTGAAGGTGGTCAAAGGGTACAAACTTCCAGTTAGAAGATGAATAAATTCTGGGGATCTAATGCATAGCATGGTGACTACAGGTACAATACTGTATTGTACACTTAAAAGTTGCTATGAAAGTAGATCTTAAAAGTTCTCACACCACACACACACACACACGCACAAGGTTAACTATGTGAGGTGATGGATGTGTTCATTAACCTTACTGTGGTAATCATTTTGCAATATATACTTATATCAAATTATCATGTTGCCCACCTTAAACTTACACAACGTTATATGTCAATTATATCTCAATAAACGTGAGGAAAAAAGGGCGACACTCCCTGGACATTGATTCACTGTGATTTAATGTTCTACCTGGTTTCAACCTAAGATTTTGACAACCTAAGATTTTGACTCATTGACCACCTAAAATCACCTGGACTCTCAATTAAGGAAAGACTGGACCAGCTGATTTTGAAGAGCCCTTTCAGTTCTGACAGTCCATGTTTCTGTGCAACACACATCCATCTGGTGAGAGCTGGTTCTATTAGACTCTCACTTGGTTGATCATCCTGGAATCTTAGAAGCTAAGATTTGTAGACAAAGATTTCACTAGTCCTTCTCTCCTCCCCTCCTAGACTACAAGCATCATAGAGCTGGAGCTGACGCCTGTGATCTTGCTACTCTGTCCCTTTAAGAGCTCATCCAGCTTCAGTTCCCCTGAGAGAGGTTGCTCTTTCTCCAAGGCAGCCGCTCCAGCCTTAAAAAGTTCTTCCTCAAGTGGAACAAAAACCAGACGACAGTCAAAGGCTGATTGGGTGCACTTCAGAATTCATCTCTGTAGTCATATGCAGCTCCCAGGCTGCACACCTGGGCACTTTGGATTTGAGTACAAGTGTGTCTAACCCCGTAGCTAGCTGTTCCCGTCCTCTAATGCTCTTCAGCCTCTTCAGCTCTCAGGGGAATCTGTATACTGGATTCTAGGCTCTGACCTGCCATATCCAGCAAGCCATTACCGTTCTATCCAGCTCAATTTCTTCACCTGAATAAATAGATAGGACTAGATATTTTGCTTTAATATTCCATGGCATAATAATATTAATAATAATAAAATAGGTAGCATTTGTTGAGTGTTGATTCCACGCCAGGCACTTTAGGCAGGTTAATTATCATCTCCATTTTGCAGGTCAAACAGAGAGAGATAAAGTAGCTTACCCACAGTCGCACACCAGTAAGTGGTGGGAATGAGATCCATATTCATGGGATCCAACTCCAGCACCTTCCCTCTTACTCATTTGGTACGTCTTGGGAATGTTTGTCTTCTAGTTTCTCTACTAGAGATTTTTTAAAATTGGGATTTCTGGAAAATGTGCTTTCCTAGAGAGGGATTGATCTGACCCAAAGGGTAAGTGCCACCTGCCCTCAGTGAGTGGGATGGTCAGGGAGAGAAACCTCTCTGATACAGGCCCACCTGGTCACTTCTTTCCAGGTCACCATTCTGTCCTATTTGGTCCTTGACTGGACAGCCAGACTTGAGAGGCTCAGCTTCCCTCCCTAAGTATCCTGCCTTTGCTTTCTGAAAAAGTCCTCCTAGACATATGTTCATAAATTCCCCGATGTCTTAGTGGGACAGACTAAGAACTCGATGTCTTTGGGAAACTTTGTGATACAGTGTAAGGAGCAGAAGGCTTTAAAGGTCTAAGTTCAGCTCTCAGCTCAACCACCAACTAGCAGCATGACAAGGTAAGTCATTCAATTACATTAATCCTTCAGTTTACTATCTGCAAAATGGGAATCATAATCCCTACCTCAATAGGATTGAGGGAGGTTTCAGTGTGATGAGAGGTATGTGAGGCAGCAAACACAACACAGGGCACATGGGAGTGTCCACGAACGTTTGCTCCCTTCCCCTTTTACATCCTCCTGTGGTCTGTATGGAGCTCAGGGTCTGACACATAGGGCTGCTCAAGCATTGCTGGTCAAATCCATATGGACCTTTCATCCTGGGACTCTGACTTGTAGCATACAGGCTCTGGGAATAACCCGTCACCTGAGTTCTTAAATGGCATCTCCCAGATCCCCAGAAGGAGCCGTCTCCAGACACAGGACAGCAGGGAGGGACCAGGCATAATGTGATGGACATACACTTCCCATGAGGCTGCTTCTCTGGCCAGGTAGACTACATAGACGGCTAGTGCAGATATCACTTCTGGTTCACTTACCTGCAGCAGTTCAAATACAGCAAGGAGGTCCCCTCCAGAAAGGTTCCCGCAAAAGATGGGGTGGTAACACAGCCTGGGGGGCTTATAGTCCTGGTCAGCGAGCTTCACAACAGGAGCAGCCACGGTGGCACCCAAATATTCTGGCTTCCCCTAGGGCAGAAAAGAAATGAATTTTTGTCGCTCATGGTCATCTACCTGGTTCTGATCTGCGTCAGTGTGATTTTGTAATTAATCTTCACAAAACTGTCAGCCTCAGTGTCTCCCTCCTGCTACTATCTCACTCTCTTCTTCTGCTAAGCCCCTCTCACCTCTTCCCACAGCCTTGGGGAGCAGCAGAATCCATCTGGGCTCTCAGGGAAAACCCTAAGAGGGTCATCTTAGGGGCCTCCTGGCTCAAGGCAATCTTAGGAGTTATCCCTTTCCTCAGTGTATTGAGTTCAGTGGAATAAAGTAAAAATAATCACCCAGGGTAGACTTGAAGGGGAAAAGGAGAAATAAGGTGGCACCAAATATTCCAAAAGATCTCCAGAGCAGGGAACCATTGTGGCTGGGAACACAAGTTTGGAGTCCAGGCAAACGTGAGTTGGAGTTCCCAAATCTATTGCTTTGGAGATCTATGGTCTTGGGCCAGTTACTCAACTTTTTTTTTTTTTTTGCAGTACGCGGGCCTCTCACTGTTGTGGCCTCTCCCATTGCGGAGCACAGGCTCTGGACGCGCAGGCTCAGCGGCCATGGCTCACGGGCCTAGCCGCTCCGCGGCATGTGGGATCTTCCCGGACCAGGGCACGAACCCGTGTCCCCTGCATCGGCAGGCGGACTCTCAACCACTGCGCCACCAGGGAAGCCCTCTAAGAACTATTTGATGGGGTCACCTCCTGCCTCTTCCTCATCCCTGCTCCCAGGACCTCAGTCCACATTCCCCCAACGAGCAGCATGGGGCTGGAGCGTGGGGCTGCTTTGCTATTTATTTCAAGAACTGCTGTATCCCCTGGCACAGGGCAGGCACTCATTACATATTTATTGAGTGAAAACTCTTGGATAAATGACCTCCAAGTCCAAGGGCAGTGCCCACATTTTCTTTGGCTGAGGCTGGGTTTTAGTACCTGCACTACTTAATTGCCTTTGGACTCACAAACAAGCATTTGCATTCCCGGCTGTAGAAGGAAGCTTGGTTGAGGTGGAAATGGGTTTATCTCAGTCACACTTAAAAACTAACAAAGCAGGGCTTCCCTGGTGGCGCAGTGGTTAAGAACCTGCCTGACAACGTGGGGGACACGGGTTTGAGCCCTGGTCCGGGAAGATCCCACATGCCAGGGAGCAACTAAGCCCGTGTGCCACAGCTACTGAGCCCGCGCTCTAGAGCCCGCAAGCCGTAAGTACTGAAGCCCTCGCGCCTAGAGCCGTGCTCCGCAACAAGAGAAGCCACCGCAATGAGAAGCACGCGCACCGCAACGAAGAGTAGCCCTCGCTCGCCGCAACTAGAGAAAGCCTGCGTGCAACAAAGAAGACCCAACGCAGCCAAAAATTAATTAATTAATTAATTAATTAAATTAAAAAAAAAACCCTCCAGTAAGCTTTTGAATCTGCTGTTTCAGGACACGGACATCTTTGGAGAGAAACAGGTTTGGCTAATATCATAACAGAAATGAGACAGAGCTGAATGCATTGTTTCAGGGCTTGGAAGCAACAACCAAAGGAGAAAAAAAAAAAAAAGGCCCAGTTACAAATGCTGAATCAGTGACAATATATCCATTCCTTCCAACCAGGCGAAATCAGTAAAGACCTTCTATTTTCAAAAGGCATGGACATTTTTATAAGCAGCAATAAGGTATAGAACTAGCTGGGGGCTGGGTATAATAATTATATTCCTGAAGAGGTATATGTGGACTGAACTTTTGTGAAGCAGATTCTATTTAAATTGCAACCCAAAGGGATATCTAAGCAAAAAACCCTTTAGTAAAGCAAATGATCATCATCCATGTCACAGATTCTGTAGATCAGTGTTTCCCAGGTGAGGACTGCCTCTGGGCATAGTTACAGGCTGGTTAAATAAAGGAAGTTAGTTGAACAGGGAGTTTTTAGCAAAAGGCACAGTTAGTGCAGCCCTGGGACACTCACCACTGCGTCACTGTCATACAGCTCCACCACCACTAACGGCGGGGATCCTGCCAGTTCCTTCAGGTCTCCGTGCAGCACCAGGTCATTGAACAGCAGCATCTGGTTCCAGGTCGGGGAGAGGGTCTGGGAAATGACCTGGAAGTTGGGGCCAAAAGAAAAGCAAAACATCACTCGACTGGGTTGGAGGGGGCTCCGTGAAGGGTAGAGAGGACACATTCTCATCACCATTGCTCACTTATTCAACATTCAAGCAACGACGGAAACTGATGTGCTCCTGAGTATCAGATGCTAGGGATGCAGATTCCCTTCCCTGGAGGAGCTTATATAAGCTTCATGAGTAGAACTCCCACCTGATTACCACCCTACTTGCAAGCATAATTCCAATTCAATCCTCACAGCAGTGCTGTGATGATAACACCAGCTACCCTTTATTGAGCATGTACTGTGTACAGGCTGTGGTACTGCACATACACTGTCTTGCTGAAACTTCCCAACAATTCTGGGAGGTAGAAATGTAAACCAAGGCTCACTTGCCCAGAGCCGGCACATGGCAGAACTGGGATTCAACCCAGGTCATCTGGCACCAAAGTCCAGGCTGCTAACTTCAACCATCCTCACCAAGTAGATGCTCATATTATCTCCATTTTATGAAAGGGCAAACAGAATGGGGAAGATCTAGTGATTCTTCACTGTGAACAAAGAAAATTTTGTCATCAAATACTCGAAAGTGGATTTTCAATCTAATATTCCTTACATGGAATTCTACTGTTTTGTGGATATTTATTTGACTGCATTGAACTGACCAGGGTCTTCAAATTAACCTTCACCATTTTGCATGACATCATTCTTTCTTCCACAGCAAACTGTGACATTTGAAGTTGGCTGCACCCATTATGCAGATGGAGAAACCAAAGGACAAAGAAGGACCACAACCTGCATAACTGGTTCAGAACCATGAGTGGCTCACCTAGGAGTGACTCAGAGTCCCCTGCCAGGTGGTACCTTCAGAAGGTAGAGTGTAATGAGCTTGCATCCTCTATTTAATTGGATGTTTGGAAACATGCCAGTTTCATAGAGCTAAAGGCTAAGGTTGCTTGCAGGATAGGTGCCTGTACCTAGGCAGAAACTGCCGCATTCACATGTGAGGCCAGTCCTGGAAAGAGGCCACAGTCACAGTCTCCTGTGCAGGCAAATGGGTGATTTCTCAGGTTAACACAGACTGCACAGCTCCTGCTGGGTCCTGAGGAAATTTCCACACCACCTCTGCACTCCACTCTTACCTCTCACCATTCTCTCCAGGAGGGATTGGAGAGAGATCTAGCCTGAACTAACTACTGCTTAGATTCCAAAGCCCAAATAAAACTGTCATCTCAGAGCTTTACATCAAGAGCCATTTCTAGTCATGGCATTAAATCATTTGCACTGTGGTTGTGAAAGAATATTTGTATCGCTCTTTTTTATGAGTCATAAAATATGCATTCCACAATTTCCTTCCTTCCTTGCTTTTTGCCTTTAGAGTATTTTATGCCTCAGACACAGTGAGGTTTTGAACATAACGTTTCAGAGAAAATCTTAATTTTTTGGACAGGAAGAGAATGGCTTCAACCAACCTATGAACAGCAGTTAAGGCACTGCAATGCAAAGTTCCCCTGTGTCGGTGACTGACATCACAAAGAACTATGTGTTTTTATGTTGCTTTTGAAAATAGAAATGTGATCTTTTTTGCAACCTGTACCCAACAGTGTGACACCAAAGCAATTTATGATTCTCACAGCATCTTTCCTACAGAAATATTCTGATGGCTTCCTTGGCACTTTGGGCTATAACTGCCACTTGATAAGATTCCAGAGGCCAGCATTCATTCTTTCATTCATCATATATTTATTCCTTCAAAGTGCTAGGCTCAGTATTAGGCACTAACACAGCATCCTCTGCTTAGCAGGTATTCAGTAGCTACTTGCATGACTAAATGAGTGGATTTTGGCCTGTCCCATGATTAAAAGGACAATGTGGCCACCTTCGAGAAGTACTGAAAGGTTCACGCAAACAAAATACATTGTCCCACTTCTCTGCCAAGGTGAGTACAGCTCACCTCATTTCCTCGGGGCTTCCTTAAGGAGTTGTGCTTTATAAACCTGTTCGGTGACATTGTTGGAGAGACTATGGTAACACTTAAATTCAACGCTTTTAAGAAGTGAGATACCATGGATGGAGCGTGGCTTTAGAATCAGAGACCCCCTGTAATGGAACCCTAGTGCCACCACCTGCCTATGTCCAGCTTGGGCAGATGATTTAACCTCTCTGATCCTTAGTCTTACTCATTTCAGTGGGGTTAGTACCCACCTTGTAAAGTTGTTATGACCACTGTCTAAGATAAAGCTTTTTAAGTGCCTGGCATACAGTAGGTGCTCAGTAAGTGCTTTTCGTCCGCCCCCCTCCACCCCAGCCACACTCATTTACAAATGAGTAAACATTTACTGAATACCTACCACGTGCCAGCGTTGGTCACCAGGGTAACTCGTATCTAACAAGAGACCACTGGTGTCCTCAGGACTCGGCGTCAGTCTGACTGCTTGAAATCTCAGCTTCCATGCCCCCCACCCCCTAAGACCCCCTGTCCCTCTCTGCTAAGCCTCCCTCTTACCACACGGTCCTTCCCCCTTTCTATCCCCAAAACCTTTCTCTTTGGGAGCTGTGTCTCCCTTTCCCTTTATCCTATCACCACAAGATTTCCAAGTTCCACGTCCTCAGTGGCATCTGGAATAGCTGGATTCCCCTCCTGAAAGATTTCGTACCATTAAGTCACTTATAAAGGATTGGCTGCAGGACCCTCCCTTCAGAGATAGTTCTCCTTGAGCAACACGTGGTCCATTCAGAGACGTGCTACCAGGTGTACGGTGGACCAGCTCAGCTATGACTGCAGGGCCCCCAGGCTCAGCGTTCCCCACCTTGAAGAATGCACGAGTGGGGCATGTCACACACAGATCAGTCCCACCGAGGCAGCACACACTGAAACAGGAGAGAGAAACCAGAACCCTTTCTTACCAAAACGGAAGCAGAGTGGTTAAGCAAAACAACTTTGGAATTGGACCAACCTGGGTATCCATCTTGGCTCTACCATCTTCTAAATAAAGAGTCTCCGAGCCGTACCTTCCTCATCTGCAGAATGAGGACACTAATAATACCCACTTTGGGGTTGCAGTTAGACGTAACCAAAAACACATATAAAATGCTTAGCATCATGCCTGTCACAGAGGGAGTTTTTAAATAAATGACAGCTATTATTATTAGCAAAAATTAGGTACTTGGTTCAAAAGTATGGAGGCAAAGTCCAGGGTTCAACAGAACTTGTTTTCCCTTTCAAACGATTATTTGATAAACAAATGTCATCTCTTCCTTTGAGATATGCATCTAAATCAAATGAATATACTGTATGGAGATGCAAAATAGGAAAACTACATAGCAGGAAGGGAGCTCACTCAAACCCCCTACCCCACCCAGAGCCCTGAGATCACCTCTGAGGGCTTGGAACTCCACAGCTGTGCAGGCAGAGGAGGCCTCCAGGGATTCCGCCTGCCGCCCCCCCCCCCCTCCCCGCCCCCCCCCCCCCCCCGCCTCTTTTTTTAACCACACTGTGTGGCATGCAGGATCTTCGTTCTGCGACCAGGGCTCAAACCTGTGCCCTCTGAACTGGAAGCTCGAAGTCTTAACCACTGGAGCGCCAGGCAAGTCCCAGGGATCCCCCTTTTGAGAATCCCCTTTGTTTTTGGTGGGAAGCCTCAATGGCAATAATAACGCAGTCACACAGGAGCTGTTATAAACAAGGCACTGTACTGAGTGTCTCACCCTCTGGGAGGCATATACAATATCACCATCCCTATTTTACAGATGAAGAAATTGAGGACAAAGAGGATTTTGCTGTCACACAGCCAATAAATGGAAGGGCTCAGACCTGAACCCAGGCACTGCGGCTCTAGAGTCTATTAACCACCGCGCTATGTACTACCTCTGAAAACACAGGGAGGAGAAAGGAGTCTGAAGTCTTCTCGTTCTCATGCTCAGTCACCTTCCCTCTGATGTCTCTCCCGACTTCCGTCCCAGGCAGAGCTAACGCCTCTCTCCCTGTGGCCCCTGGAGGTTCAGTACTATGGGGTTTATCACAGTGTGGCTGATTCGTCTGCACAGAGCACTGCCGAGCGCCACTGCACCGTGCACTGTGCAGGAGTGGAGCCCGGAAGATGGCGGCGTGGGAAGACGCGGGGTCAGCGTCTCCACACAACTAGGGCGCCTGCCGGCCGCTGGTGGGAGACTCTGACCCCCAAGGAGACAGGAGGGACCCCAGAGTGAACCGGTAGGACGGAGGGGGACCGAGGGCGGAGAAGTGGCGGCCAGACAAGATCGGCGCCCCTGAGGCCGGGGAGACCAGGAGACGCAGGTGGGAGGGGCTCTCCGGGAGAACAGGGCGAGGAGCAGAGGGCCTGGGGAGCCTCCTGAGCTCCCAAGCTGGTTCTCCCGGCTCCAAGGCCCCTCCAGGCTGCGTGGGTCCTTGGGAGCATGGCGGGGAGGGGAGATCAGGAGACGCAGGCGGGAGAGGGGTCCTGGGGAGCAGCGGGAAAAGAGTGGAGGGCGATGGCCCCACCCACTCGGGCCCAGGGAGCCTGCTGAGCTCCCAGGCCGGTCCCCTGCCCCCTGAGGCCAGGGTCGGGGGCACAGCTGGGCCCCTTCTATTCCTCCAGCGTAAGCCCCACTCCCCACAGGCCCCAGGGCCTTTCCGGCCCTGTGCGTCCTGAGCATTGGCCCCGCCCACCACCCAAACCTCGCCCTTGCTTAGGCCCCGCCCTCCACAAAACTCCCTTTTTTTTTTTTTGGCGGTACGCGGGTCTCTCACTGTTGTGGCCTCTCTTGTTGCAGAGCACAGGCTCCAGACGCGTAGGCTCAGCGGCCATGGTTCACAGGCCTAGCCGCTCCGCGGCATGTGGGATCTTCCCGGACCGGGGCACGAACCCGCCTTCCCTGCATAGGCAGGCGGACTCTCGACCACTGCGCCACCAGGGAAGCCCAAACCCCACCCCCCTTTTTTTTTCCTTTTCCCTCCTCTTTTTTTACTATTGTAGTACTGATGTACCTTCCAGTTG